TTTCGGATGCGGCCAACTATCCAGGGTACCCAAATTACCCTTGAGCCTCGCACTTGCCGATGAGCATCACGGTGAGAACTAGAGACTACTCATTGTGTATCAGGATCAAGTAGTACGGAACTTGTCACTTTACCCTACTGTCCTAGAGCTCTTCATGGATGAAGAAGGCCTATTAGGCTGTAATCACTTTACTTTATGCCATCACTCTCGACAGAAATAAAAGCTTCGCTGTTCTAATGTTTTTTGAAAATTCGTCTTTATGACTAGAAGGTTGAGTTTCTTTCATGCCGTGGGGAAAACACAGGACAGCGGGCTAGTGTATATGATCAACTCAACAAAGCAAGAGGTCATTTATGCTAAATATTTAGTATGACTTCTAGTTTTAGTAGATTTCTTTGATACATTATTCTGTTCTGATGTTTCCGTTCGATTTTGCTCTTCAAAGCGACTATGGTACATCGTCCTTACTTCTGTATTCATAATAAATGTCTCAGTAGATTTAGTCATAGAATTTCTATGTTCTAAACGTTTTGTGTATGCCATTCCAGGAAACGCAATGTTTGCATCTTCAGTCTTTCTCTTTCGGAATTATGGCGCTGATTGTCGTCAACTTAGCGTCTTCTTCAGCAAAACTGTCAGTGCATCCGGTGCTGAAAAATGAGGTCGTCGGCGGAACCCTCGGGCTTGCGAAGATATAAACCGTTTTTGATCTCCTATGAGGTTTAAGTAGTTGAACATCCGCATGTCCTGAAACTAAAATCTCGCAAAGCGATCCATCTAAAATCCGTCAATTTTAACATGTATTCAAACATATGTTCTTTGATTTTTCTCGCACCGCGTATCATGCGTTCCCCACAACGCTAATGGTAATTCACACTATTTCATTTCATGCAAAATAGTTGATGACTTCCTCCGTGGATTCCACCAGTTCTTTCCATCGTCGCACTCTGGTCGAGGAGGCGTTGGAAAGCATGGAGTGCGCCACCCCTTTGCCCGTCCTCTATGGGGGTACGAGCAACATTCTCAACGAAGATATGCTAGAAGATGTGAGTTTGTCCATCTCGCCTACCTCTTTCGCCAGTCAAACCAAGTGAACCACTGATGACCGTTAACGTGGCTGAGGCAAACTATACCTTTTGCAATTAAATTATTCTGAATATCACTTCCAGATGTCCGGGTATCGTTTCAAGTTACCTGAGCATCATTTCAAGCTGGCTCGCTGACTATATCGGAGCTGCCAGGCTCATATATTTTTAAAGCCTCGCAGCGTTGCCTGGATGACCGCCGTACAGCACAGACTTATCAGCGCGGGGGTGAAGAGTTGTAGGCATGCCTCAATCACACACCAATTCCCATATCACGTTTTTGTCTTTGTTAGTACGCGTACGCCTCTGTGTGTGTATGTGTTCGTCTCTCTTCGCCTGAAACGTCATATCGGACCATGTCCTGCTGATACCACTGAATCATGCGCGACCAACGCTTGTGTCATTGTTTACATTCATCGCATGATGATTCAATAGAATTCATAAGCTACACCTCAAGCGGCTGCAATTGGACAACAATCGATTGTGCTCTGCCGATATACGCATCATTGTTGACCAGATTATCATCCGGTTTGTGTGACACTTGCAGAGTGTTCCACCTCTTTGTTATCACCACAGAGGCATCAACAAAATTCAACCCTTCATGTACTCAACAATCAAAATGACCAGTTTAAACATATATCCAAAACGGAATGAGTTAGCACTATCGAACCAACTACAATTGAAATAACCTAGCGAGGACTGTCGAACTGTACCATAGATTTTATGATAGTTACGGAATTCTATAAGAAGTTCTAAGTTCAAAGTGCACTTTTGTGAGTGTGGACTCTATTTGGTAATCGTTCTCGCTAAGATCATATAGTTCTAACCTCTGGCCTTGGGGCCCAAGGCACAAACGATAGAAAGAATAATGCATCTTCACTAGAATCTATCAATTATTTACGTGCGCAGACGCTTTCACCCCTGGCGTTAGGACTAACGAACTGCCCTCAAAGTTGGTTAGTGGTAGTTTCAGGGTGTGAATAGTAGATCTTAGAACCAGAACATTCCAATGGCAACAGCAATGGGTGAAGTTTTGTTCACTTTAATTCTTTGGTGGTGGCACGGTGGTAACTTAGCTAAATTATCGCCCCCGGAGGACGTGTGTTCAAGTCACAGCGCCACCACCTGAATTCCCCTATAATGTGTTGTATAGTATTGCTCGCTTCTCCCCTCGTCAAAGTTGTATGAAAATATATTCAATAAAAAGGAAAAACAAACGGAAAAAAGGTAACAGTTGCAGAACAAATTTCTCTTTTTGTGGATTCGGTTTACCTCTTATATAAAGCTTTTTCGTTTCTTTTTCAGTTCCTGTTAGTTTTTATATGATCCAGCAGACATCTTACGATTTTGTTAGATCTATGCACCGAACAAGCTTCCATGCTTTCGGTACGGCTTCTACATTTCCCCAATAAACATCCTTCGAGCGATTACCTGTTCTGCTCGTATGGTCAGTTGGTCTAACGATCGTAACAGATCGATTTAGCTTGCTACACAGCCGCACTGCTGAATCTAATTGCATATTTAATGTGAATGAAGCATTTAATTCTGTTTACTGTGCTCGGGGTTGCTAATATGAACAGATCGAAAATAATATCCGGGCCTCAGCCTAGGCGCGCACAAAACAGTTTGTGAAATCATTCTTTTAACCCTTCACAACTGCATGATCGCATATCTTTTAAATCAGTTTTTCTGTATCGGAGGGTTTTTATTTTGCCCAGTCAACTTCGTTGGGCTTGTAGTCGCATTTCCTGATGTACTAGTACCATTCACAAGTTGTTTGACCGTGCATCCCGTGTGTGTGTGTGTGTGTGTGTGTGTGAAATGTGTCCTATACACAGTGAAGGAAACCAAAACGGAAAAATATCAAAGGGACATACTGCTTCTTCAATCGTTTTCCTCTTGTTTAAATGTGCTTAGAATGATAATAGTACTAATTTGTAATACTACTACTACTACTACTATTAATTCGGCAACTGACAAGCACCACTCTCGCGCCAAACATGTCCCCGTAAGTATAAATGTGTTCGAACTCTTATCGTTCTCAGTCAGTATCCCATAGTTATTTTTTACCCGCTCAAGGCACTATTTGCTACCATATCAATACCATCGGTAACCTGTGATAGTTGACGAAAAGCTTTTGCTAGCAAACATTTCTCTACCTCTGGTTGCAGATTATTACCCTTGTAGATCGCTTCACTTCTGATATCCAACTACTCATCATTACCGTCGCTTTTCGCCATTCTCTTTTCTTTGATTTCCTTTGTTTTCCTTTCATTATCATAATCGGACGCACAGCTCGGTGCCAACTTTCCATCCCACTGGATCGGATGTAATCTGAGTTTGATCTATAAAACTGATCAGGATGGCTACAGCCTCAACACGCTCTATCGGAAATCACAACACACCCAAGGTGGCGTACTGTTAGTCATACGGGACACAATGGGTACTGTCTTTGGTGCGATTCTATCCGAGGGGATTCATTGCAGCAAGCATTTTTACGGGACCGGGGAGACGTGTGTGTTTCAATGGGCTCCCATGTTCAAGGTTTGTGCGAACCACCATTGTTTGTAACATTTGTTTTGCATCTCTGGTTTGGTCGGCCCTTTCTCTCTCTCTCGTTATGCTTGGTTTGCTTGTACACTCTCAGTGCTGTTCTATAGCTTATTCAGGGTTTATGTGATGGGAGTTGATGGCGTAATAAAGTTTGTACCTTGGCCGATCCAACTTACGTATTAAAGTTTTTCCTAATGATACACATATATATTGTAATAAGTAGTAAATGAATGACTCGACAAAATTCCCCTGGGAGCACTCGATCGGTTTCGCTGTCCTTACCGCTCATCAGACATCCTTGTCTGGAAGGGTTGTCCAAACCAATTCACCCGGTGTTGCAAATG